AGTAAACTGTTAAAGGTAACAATGGCATTAACAGAAATAGAAGGAAATAAGGAATTTTATTGTCAAAATGAATACAGCATTTCCCTGGCCTCGTGGGAAATATTTAATATTTATGAGGTGCACAGGGTTTCCCCCACTCACTTTCATTTGAGATTTGAAAATTTGGGGGTTTTGTGCAAAAAATACCATCCAGAGAGGCAAAAGCTGTTAGAAAAATATTTTTACAATTGCACTAGTTTAGATGTCTCTAATACAAACATGAAGCCAGTTATAAATTCGTATAATCTTGTGGGCTTATCCCAAAATGATAGGTCAAGCTTTTGTTCCAGATGGTGCAATAGTGTTTGTGACATCCACTTTGAACTGCAATCTAGTTATGTGTCAAGCAGGAGAGTCCATTATTCACAGCATCATTGCTGGAGAAAGAAGGTTAAAAGTTCAAGACATGCCCCAAGTGATTAAGGTTGCAAAAATCAGGAGATATACCATGGGGAAAAAAATGCCATTCTTCCTTTTCTTCCATACTCAGTTTGGCCCCAAAAAATGTGTTGAAGAAAAAAAATACAGGACATAGAAAAGCCTCAGTTCTAAGCAGTAATGCGAAAATTACCTTTTTATTCGAACTCCTTAAAATCCTCTGCTATCAGCTTCACTTTTCCCAGAAAGAAACAGAACAGCTTTTTTTAAAACCTGTCAGCAAGTTATAGGACTTGAGAATTCAGTTAACACTATTTCTCATTCATCACAATATTCACACTTCAACTATTACAAGCTCCTATGTAAATCTGATTTTAAACTTTAATTTTCATGCATCTCACAGATAACCTGCACTAGTTCAGCTACTCAGTCATATAAGCCTTTGATCTGCAGTCAGGAACAGATTGCCTCCAATCATCCAAAAACTTTCTGTACTTGGAACCATGAGTAATGCTTCTACTATGGTTGAGAAAATGTAGGGGATTTTCAATCCAATATAAAATATGAGATGCTTAAAAGAAAGAGGAAAACCCAAAGGGTAAAGCTAAAATATAATTCAGATTAAAAATAATTTTGGCAACATTCTTTAAAAACAGAAAGATTTATAAAAATAAAAATACACAAATAAAAAAAAATTAAAACAAAAACAACAACACATCCAAGGAAATAATTCTGACCATAAATAAATAATAAAAAAAAGATGAAAGAATAAATTCCACTGATTTATGTAAAAGTTTTTTTTTCCCCTAGACCTAAAAAACTTAAGTAGAAGCTCCTGCTTTTCAGCTCTCTGCTCACCTATGAATTTGATCACAGCTTTGTCTGAGTACCAAATGCAGCACGACCAGTTTGCCATATGATCTATGAAATTGTATCAATAACTGATACAGAGTAACTGATGCATGAACAGACACTCTTCATGTCATAGAAAATGTTTGTATATGAGTTTTACAAAGCCCAGTAACATCTTAACTCTGTAAATATTCACAAGAGTACTAACATTTCAGAGTATCCTATTGAAAATATAGACAAAAATCTTTATAATCCATCATGTCTTTATAATCCACCCGTCATGTAGGCTTCAATAATGACTTAAAATTCATAATGGGTACTTCAAAAATGCATGCACAAAGAAATCACATAGTGAACTCCTGATAGCATGGAATAAAACTATCAAAGCATTCATCAAGAAGTGGCACATTACAAAATAATAATAATAATAATAATAATCTACACTATAAAAAGCAGTTACATCACAGAAATTTGAGGACAGTCTTTTGTAAACTGAAAAATCAGCTGAAAGACTTGAGCTGAAGTACTACACATTCCAAATTACCTTCAGAGTTGGAATGATAAATGAAAGCCAATCAGCTCTCATGTTGCAGGCCTGTGGCCTCCTCTGGAGAAGGCCTGGCTCACCCTTGCACAGCATGAGTCACACAGAGCCACAGGAAGAATCCTCCAACTTCAGAAATAAATTAGTACCAAAACCCACTCAACTTGAAGTAACCACTGGAGCGGAGAACAATTACTCAAGGCAAATGAACACTTATATGAGTATTCTGGGAATGAAAATTACAACACCAGAGGAAAAATTAAAAAAAAAAAAAAAGAAAAAAGAAAAAACAAAAGAAACTAAATTGTTAACATGTATTTCCTAATATCCATTAGATACATTGCAGAAGTTCTTGGACAGTTTTTATCTAGTTCTATCTAAACATTATGCTTAGCTGCATCCTATGACCCAAGCCTTGTTTTGGTCCTTTATATAAACCTGTGAGTAACTTTGTTACTTACGTTTGCCCTATATAGAATATTTAGAAAAAAAAAACTAACAACAGTAGAATTATTTTTACATGTAAAGCAAAGAACCTTTAAAAGCCTTTTTAAGAAATGAAGATGCCTTAAAACCAGTAATATATTTGTGTAAGAGTGTTTTTATTGCCAAGATAAAATGGCAATCCTGATTTCATTGGAAATATCATGCAGTTTTTATGCACTCAGACTTGACTTCAACGAACCCTGCCAGCAGAATAAGCACACATTACTCCTCTGTGAAATCCTAAAGAAACATATATGTCAGGGAGACCATGATCTTAATTGATTTAAGGGGCACGTTTATGCCTTTAGAGCAACATTTCAGAATGGCAAAAATCATATCCTTTATGCAACACGTAGGCATGTGATACCATACTTGGGTTTAGCATGCCTAGCAGTATGCTGATAATCACTCCTACAAGACTCAAGCCAGACTTAAAAAGCTTGGGGAAACAAAGTAATGCACAGAATATGGTATCATCAATGAGGAGCAGCTGATCATAGAGTATTTCCTGACAAAAGAGTTACAGCAAAATCAAAAGGAGACAAAAATTTACACATGACTTCTCTGGAAAGGAGTATAAAATTGATTTTTCTATCTAACCAGTTCTAAATAACTATGTAGTTATTTAGTTTCTATATAAAGTTCTATATAACTATAAACATTTTGAGTAGAAATTGGTTAAGAAGACATCACACTGCAGCGTTACCGGACACCCCTAGGAAAGGGGTAATGGCAGCCTTTGTGGTTGGGTACTGTTTAAAAGCACATGCTATATAACTGAATCATCTTTGTAATTCAAAACTGAAAAAGAACTACAGCAGGGTATCATTCGTACCTGCTCATTTGGCAAAGGACAGATCCACAACAACCACATGCTTTTCCCTCTCTTGTGAATTCCTTAGAGCTTGCTACATGCACTTTGATTAGTGAGTTTTTAATTACACTTTAGCTTGTTAGCACTATGGGGCCAATAAAACTAAGAGAAATAGAACTAAATTCTTTTCATTCAACACGACTGTTAACTAAACACCAATTAATTACACCCACACAAGCCTAATGAAGATAATGGGGTTGCAGAGAGTTCACCGATGGTATGAAGTGGCTTGCAGCGCCCTAACTAATCAGTTAAATACTTCATAATAGGTCGGATCATAGGATAAGCCATCCTCTTTCTACATGTGTACAGCTCCTATTCCTGTTAATGGAAATTACATGACTACGCCAATAATTCATGCAATGTTCACTTGATCGTGAGGCAAAAAGTGATAAATACTTGGAATCCTTGGTACTATTTCAAACGGTGAATTTAGACAGAATGCAAGGCTGTTCTAGAAAGTGACTACCAACTTGCTTCGATTCACTGTTTTCCTAAAACTAGCAAGGGAAATTGACAAGTTTCTCTTCCCCAACTGTTGATCAATACCCCCACAGCCACAAACAACGCTGTTTCTCCACATTTTACTCTGAACCCTTTAAAAAGCAGAAGGTGGGAAACAGAGTTCAAGGAAACCAAAATCCAGCAGCAGGCAGCACCCTCAAACCACATGATATTACCCAGTAATCAAGTACTGGTACCCACTCCTCATATCACACCCAGCTGAGTGACCCCCCAGGGGTGGTTTAGGTTAGATACGAGGTAGTTTTTCACACAGAGGGTGGTGATGCACTGGAACAGGTTGCCCAAGGAGGCTGTGGATGCCCCATCCCTGGAGGCATTCAAGGCCAGGCTGGATGTGGCTCTGGGCAGCCTGGTCTGGTGGTTGGTGACCCTGCACATAGCAGGGGGGTTGAAACCAGATGATCATTGTGGTCCTTTTCAACCCAGGTCATTCTATGAGATAAAGGAGCAGCAGACACCATGCTGAGCTGCTCCGAGCCAGGAAAGCCTCACCACACATTCAATTTCCACTCTCTTTGGGGCATGGCTAATGCCAGCTCTGAAACCCCCTCAGAGGAAAAAGCTGAAGGAAAAAAGAAAAAAAGAAAGAAAGAAAGAAGAAAAAAAAAAGTAGTAATAGAAGAGGGTTTAACTCTCTGGAGAGGCACCATGTTATTTCTGAAGGATGCGAAAGGAAAAGAAAATGATTCAGTGGGGATTTTTCTTCATTATCACCCAGCCCAGAGAAGCAAACGTACAATGAGCAGAGGTCCACACGTATTGATTTTAGAGCCGAGGAAGCGTGTGGCTAACAGCTTTTTAAGTATCTCCATTTTCAGTTACTCCAACAAAATTACCAATGGGCAGCGTAACAAAGTGAAAGTTTTTGTAGGAAATCGCAGACTAAAAATGATCATTTAGGCTGTGAAACGTTTCTTTTCATCGAAAGTAAAGGGCTTTTAAAGGCAGCAGTGGAGCTGCGTTTTGCAGCGTTATCCTCACCAGACGTTTCACAGACCGTAATCTGTCTCTCTTTCAGGACGATAATCTTACACAATTTTGTTGTTCGGAGACTTTTAAAACTCAACAATACCTGCTCGTAACCAGCCCGAGAGGAAGGAGCGGGCAGGCAGCCCACGGTTTTAGGCAAAGAAACAACACAACCACTGCAACGCCCCAAGGGCAGCTGCAGGACGCACAAAGCCCCGCCTCACGGCCAGCCCGCCGCAGGTGCCCGGCTCGCCGCCGCCCCTCAGGGCTTTCCCGCCTCAGGGTAACGGCCGCGAGGGCGGCCGCCAGTCTCGCGAGAGCAGCGGCCCCGCGATGGAGGCTGATACCGTCGGGCGGCTGCGGCGGGAGGCGGCGGAGTACTACCGAGACCACCGAGTGCCGCAGCGAATGGAGGAGGCGCTCAACGCCCTCTTCCCGCTGCGCCCCGCAGACCTCTACGGGGATTTGGTACCGCGGGGCGGGGCGCGGCGCGCAGGCGCTCCCTGTGAGGGGCGGCGGGGCGGGGCTGAGCGGAGCGCTGCCTGTGGCGGGCGGGGCGGAGGGCTGGGCGGTGTCTGTGGAAACGTTACAGTGTTTCCTGTCTCCGAGTGAACCGCCGTCGCCCGTGGGAAACGGAGCTGGCGCTGTTCCGGCTTTGCTGGATGTTCGGCCCCTGTTGTTTCCTGGTTCCTCGCGAGCTAAGCCGTGCTTTTGCACTGGTGACCGTCTGTCCAAAGGATGAAACTGCCAGGAAAGCCTGTAACAAGCCTCACGTGGCAACGTGATTTTTTATTTAAAGCGACGCTGGTGTTCATGAAATACAGATGAGCCCCAGCTATACTCGCACGGCCCATGATGTCAGTGCCAAGCCCATGCAGACCTTGTTGGATAAATAATTCAGAGCGCTCTGCTTTGCACCTCCATCTGAAACCCCAGGTTCACCACGCGCTGACCTCTGTGCTGCCTCACTCGTCTTCTGTGGTAACACAGCACCTGGCGCAGCTCCGCCTGCATTTCTGAGGGCTGTCCTTTTCTGGAATCTTTCCTCTGTGCTGACACATTCCAGACAAAGAGATGCTTTTTTTTTTTTTTTTTTTTTTCCCCAAGATTTTATCCACAGATAAAATAATTATGGTATATCGACTCGCTGCACGGTGAGAACCTTCCCGTGTGAACCTTCATGTAAGCAGATTTCACGAGTAGCAGGCAAATAACACAATTGTTTTTGTTATATAGCGTAAAATCCAGTTAAACCTTGGATAAACACCTGTTTTCTAGGAGGCCATGGATGTATTTAATGATACCCATCACTAACTTTGCAAAATAAAACATGTTATCTAACCTGGATGTGGTTTTGGACTTCTCAGGCTGAGATTTGAGTTGGATCCGTTCCCTGCAATGATTCATAAGCAGATAATGCAGACATAAACAGGAGTATGTTTGACATTGGGACGAATAAATGGATTTGCTCAATGGTGGATATAATTTGTTAAATGGAATAAAAACCTGTTTGCGTAGAAACTGCCTTCTAATGAGTTCTTTCTCTTTCATTTAAGGCTAACTTCTTCTCTAAATTTTCAAAAGCTCCAGTCATATGCAAACTGGCTGGAAGAAAAGTTCTTGATGGAGTTGGTCAACCAACATTAGAAGTGGAAATATATTGCACAGTGAAAAACCACGAGAAGGTGTGAGCTGCTCCTTCCTGATTTATGTAATAAGACACTGTCAGGGAAATGTACTATTCTACTCATATCCTAGTGAGCATTTCATTTTGCAGCTTTAGTGAATGGATGTGAATCCCGGTAACTCAACAGTTCAGTAAATAGTGATGTTAAAAAAAAACCTGTTGTACAGTATCCACAAAGTATTGGTGAAGGAACTTCTTTTCTTTGAGCCAATAGGCTGATGTGGGTGATAGTTCAGTCAAACACCTGCTGTTAAACTTTGGTTCTTTTAATTCTTGATCCCTAAAAAGGAGACAACGTAAAGAAATTTATTATAGTTTCAAAGATATTCACAGTATGTAAAGTTAATACCATTAATGAAGGCAACTCTGTGATATTTGTAAATGATGTCTTTATTAAGTGGGCTTTGTTCATTCTTCTGTGGTACAGAAAGATAGGCTTAAATAAGACAACATATGCATGATCCTGAGCAATGGCATTAAACATAAATGCCAATGAATTGTGGTACAACAGGCTAACAACAGCTGCAGTAAAAGATGCCATGACAAGAGTGTGATCTTTAGAATTAACCTGTTCTGATAACAAAATGTAAAGCAGATCTGTCAGAAGTTTTTTTCTTAAGTAATTATAATTTAGATTGAGAAACTTGAACACGGTCTGTGATTACCAAGGTGTAAGAGACCAGGAAGGAGGTGCTGGACAAAAAAAGATCAGTGAAGTGAAGCAAACAGATTTGCAGATGGGTACTTGTAACATTGATAAGGACATCTACTTCTTTATCTTTAAGAAGACATTTTCAAGTGAGAATTAGTGTTTTCAGTTTTTCTATATTGTTTTGCAGAGGATTTGTTCTGCTATAATTTCTTCTCATTATCAAATACCTGAGAATGCTTTATCTGAAACAACCAAAGCTGGTGAGAAAGAAAGAAATGACTCTGTTACCACTGCTGTGGAATGGGTGAATGAATCACTAAACACAATGTTAAGAGACTTGAAGCCTACTGACCAATGTGAAATTGATAAGATGCTTGGGTAAGCCTTGCATATAATTTCTACTTTTTTAAGCTACTGCAGAACAAATTATTCATTTGAAATACTTTTAATTTATACTCTAAGTGAAAAGCATATACAATAATTAATGTCTTTTCAAAATATTTTTGTGTATTATATAAATTATATTGTATGCTTAACATGAAAAGGGCATTCAGTTATATTGCAGTGTATGATTTCCTGCTGATTCACAACTTTGATATAAAAATTATGCCATTTCTAATAAGAATTTATGCAAATTAGATTTAGACTACTGAGGTGAATCTAGACATGATTTTAATGCATTGTTTACATTACTGTATGTAGCTTATATACTCAGTCTGCCTGAATTGGGTGGCTGTGACCACGTATGTATGCAGTTTCCATTTCATGCAGGCTGTTGAACTCAGCCACTCTGGGATTGCAAGCACCTGCCTGACAGTGCACAGCTGACCTACTGAATTAGCAACTTAGAACAAGTTGTTACATGTCATAAGGTCATGAAAGTTTACCACTGTACTACGCATACCAAGTAAATGGGGATCTTGTAACTAAGATTATCTTTGAGATTGTGTCTACAAAGAGCTTACTTTCAAACCAGTGCAGCCTGAAAATCATGTGCTGAGAACTGTTATACTCGCTTGTGGTTCTTTTTGATTATCCAGTGTTGCAGAAAACTGTCAAAAACAGGAATTTACTGACTTCTCCAGCTTCACACAATCAGGGCAGAATCTCAAACAGATGCTCTTAATCCATCTCCAGCTTATTCTTCAGCAAGTATAGCGTGCCTCCTTTGACATGCATGACAATATTTTGAGCCACCAATCTTTGTTCCTTTTCTCAGTGAATACTTTTCAAAAAAGGAAGAAGAAAAAAAAGAAATTGAGAAGGAGGAAGAAGACGACGACACTCTTTCCATAACTTCTTGCGCTCCATTGGCAGTGGCACAATCTGGGCAAAAAAAGGAAGCAAAAACAGGTTTTTGTTGATTTCCTTGTAATATTTCCTGCAATACCAAAATTGACAAAGATGCTAAAACACTTCCTGCAGTAATCTCAGAGACATTAAAGACTAATGTCACATGTTCAGAGAGTTAGGTTAGTCTGTCCCAAATGTTCTTCTTTCTTTCTGCCCTTCTTCTTTCTGATCACAGCAGTTTCTACTTCAGAAACAGAGAGGAAAATACACAGTTTTGTCATCATTCGCTTGCATTTATTGAACAGAGTTTCTGCCTTTGTTTTATGGTTGGCTTAGACAGGAGGTTATTACTCTTAAGAATGAGGAATAAGAATGGAGGAGGATGCAAATGAAGAATAAAAATGAAAATGATAAGGAAAGAAAAGAATCATAGAACTGAAAAGGAAAATGGAAATAGTTTGAATATAGAAGTTGAAAAGAATTAATGGGGGAAGGGAGGAAGGGAAAATTGTGGCTAACACTGACAAAGGGAGGAAATAAAGGTGAGAAGTGAAAGAGAAAAAAAGGAAGGGGATGAGATGGGAAAGACAGGCTGTACAGGGTGAAAAAGAAGTAAGGAGATAATGGTACTGAATAAAAAATGGTGCAAGAGCAGAGAAACAGAATTACTATATAGGGGAAAAAAGAAAGAAAAAAGGCACAATATGTTACCTCCATATATACATTATCCTCAGAAAAAAAAAGAAAAAAAAAAGATCTCCTGTTTTCATTTACTGGAAGTTGTACCATTTTGGCAAATTATCAGTTGCTTATCAGTTTAGTTTGAACTGTCATAAAATACTTGTAAAACCTCCCAGTTCATGTGTTCAACATGTGCACAATAAATCCACCTTTAACCTGAAATGGAACATCTGCAGCTGTCTTTTTACCAGAGAGTCTCAGGACTGGATTACTGATGTTCTGTGTGTGTAGCTCTTTATCCTCAATGTAAGAGGTATAAAAGTTGTATACAGTATGCAAATAATGTTTAATCTAATCAGCATATCCAGTCGTGCTGGGCCTCTTTTGTTGCCTACCATAGTTGTATGCTGCACTATCTAAATGTTTTATTAAAAACTTCCACAGGGAAGGAAAATTTGTATATCGTTCTTATTAAGGACCAAAGCAGTTACAAAAAAGTACCCCATGTATATGATTTCAGTTTCACATAGGTGCTTGCTGTACATCTTAGCAGGGTAGGTAATAATAGCGGGAACTGCTGGGCTTCAAGCATTTTGACAAAAGTTATTCTACTGTGTCTGAAAGGGAAATAAGTTCCTTTGAAAATTTAACAAGATTTTAACAAGTCAGTGTGTGTGGAATATTTAAAAGACATGTTCTTTTGTTGGAAAATCCAATTCTAATAGGCCTGCAATTTTTTTCATGCTCATTATTAGAAGGAATCAAGTGTGTGTACTTCCAATCAGCTTAGGATGTAATATTCCAAGTCATTTATGCAAAAGCTGAGCACATTAGGAGAGCAATAAATAACAACACCAAAAACCTAAAAAATGGTTTGACAGTACTCTGTGTAAACATACATAGATTGCAATTAGAGTGAGGACAGGTACTTTACTTGTTTGTAAGGTCATTTCATATACAGCAAATGACAAGATTAAATTAAAAAACTGATTTTCTTTTTAATTATTATTATTTTTTTTTGTAATACATTGAGTGCACCGCTGAAATGTGAATATTGTATTTGCTTGCATAACCCCGGTACCTAAGCACATGTTTTCAAGCAGTAAAATATTTAGCTACTATTCTCTGTCTTTCAGGGAAGAAGTCAAATATAGAGACAACAATCCCACCTGCAGAACCCAGTGAATCAGTGCTCTGTGGCAGCTTAGCCATTGGGGGAACATCACTCGCTATAGCTAAGGCTGGTGCCTCTATTAATCGTATCCCATTGTACTTACACATTGCACTGCTGAAATGCAGTCAGGTACGTGTGACTTCTGTCATTTTGTTTATTCTAATTACCACAATGTGAAGTTGGGGATCTCCCATGAAAATGGGATTTAATAGACAACATAAAATACTTTCTTAAGAAGCAGACTTTGAACTAGCCCTGTGCCATACTTAAAACATACAGTAAATGATTCTCTTTTTAACACTTCTGTTTTTACTTGCCACTCTCAATTACAGGATTCACCTAAAGAAATGACTCTGCCACTTCCAATGGTTACTCTGTTGAGCTGTGAAAAATTTTCACCTTTAAAACTAAAATTAGTGAAAGAAGTTATGCTCATACCACCAGTTCAGTTATCGCTCAAACAGGTAGTGTTTTGTTGGTTTTTTTTTACTAATATATTCCATTTTTTTAATTAATATATCTTATACATTTGATATATATGTGAGCGAGTACATAGATCTTTTCAATAGAAACCTTAGAAAGTACATCTTTCATTTTTTTGTTTACTTGTAAGGCCCACATTTTAACATTTTTTAAATTCTGTGTGTGTTAGGACACCAGAACAAAATCAGTGCATTGAAGGAGATAAAGAAATCTGTTACAAAACACTTGAGTCTTTTCAAAAATGTGACTTTAGATTATAAATAGTACTAGTTATTTGTAGCACAAACAAAACAAAAACACCAACAAATTCACAGCAGAGCATAAAATCTTTGAGAACAAATTGCTTTAAAAATGAAATTGTGAAGATAGAAAGAAATACAAAGCAGAACAAAATCTATTCAAGGGGCAGAAAGGATGGATGAGACAGACTGGGTCAACACCCTCTTTTTGTTTAGCCATATGGTGCATTAAAGAATGTATCTGCACAAGATGCCTACATTAGGGCTGTGATTTCTATTTTGTATGCTGGTGACCTGAACAAATAGCTGAGTTCAATTCTTTCTTCTTCCTTTTCCTTTAACTTTTCAGAATTGTCACATAGAGCTCATAATAAGGTTACCAATTCTGTACTTCTCAAAGACTTAATTCCTCCCAGTGCTCAAGGGAGAGCAGCAAGCTGTTTGCTGCAGTGCAGTAAGCACAGCAGTTCCTCCTGTGCTGATATGTTGTCAGCTGTGACTGACTTCTGCCCCCTTCAGTTTTTCAGCTTTCTTTTACAAGCACAGATAAAGGAAACTTGAAATATGATTTACAAAGTCAGCATTAAACTTTTCCTAACTCAGCTGAAAACAGTCTTGTGTTAAAAGCAGAGGACTCATTTTACAGGAGTGTTCCTCCATTCCCTAGTTTTAGAAATGAAGACAGCATCTCTTTCCCTGCTGTCTGGAAATGTCAGTTTGGTCAGTTTTCAGTTAGGTAGTCTTAGAGAAATTCACACTTGTGGACACTCCCACTCCTCGGATATTAGGCAGACCAAGATGTTGCTTACTTGTTTCATCTGGAAAGGGTTTGGGTTTTCTATTTTTTTGTGGAAGAGGCCACTTTTTTCCATCTCATTAAATGGCATAATCAAATATTTCTGATCATTCCACTGCTACTAACTCTTTAGTTCTAGACACTCATAAGAGGGAGACTGTGCTTAGGATGTCTGTAATATATATTTTTTAAGGACTTTGTATTGAGGTCTGTGTTTAGAAGTGCTCTGATTCAAGCAGTGAGAATGAAGTAATTTATCTTCCTTTTGAAGAATGATGATATTTAATTTCAGGGCATAGAAAGAGCTCTGGACATTCAGAAAGAAATGATGAGACTGCTGGAGCCTGCAGAGAAAGTGGTACAATAAAAATGTGTTATTAATGTGATGAACTTCATTTGGCCTTTCTATTATTATTGTCTGTTTAACCTTAAACATAGAATATTTCACATATTATCATTCATATTTAGTTTTATTGCACAGAATAGGTGTGTCTCCCTGACAGATGAATAAAACATTGGGCATTTAGTGATACTACATTAATGAAGATAGAATAAAACATTGTTCTATGTATAGGAAGACTTTTCTATTTCATTACATATACCAGGAAAAGTCTGCTAAAGAAAAATACTGTCACAGTGAACATGTTTCTGATGCATGTTTCTGATTCTGCTAAGTCTCACACAAATAAATCATGTACTGTTCAAAGTAATATTACTGCAGTAGTTTATCAAGCTCAGTATTTGCATATACTTTTTGCAAGCAGGTTGTTAAATTTCTTCTAATACAGGGTCTAGATTCTCACTTCTTAGAACATCTGTATTGTTGATAGTCATGGTAGGAATATTTTGAAAAACAGGTGATATTTGGGGTGGTGCATACATAGAAATGAATACGTGAAATGAGTTACCACTACAAAATAAGATGAGTTAATTGCTCATAGTTTCTTTGTCTTGAATATTATTTCCTAAATTAAATATATGCAATCTCTTCAGACCAAAATTTCGTGAATGCATTTTTATTTTTTTTAATCTGAGGTCTCTCTGTCATTTTTGGACCTTTAAGTGACATTGTTTCATTGTTTCTGTCTTCCTTCAATGCCAACAGCCCAGTCCTCAACTAGCAGACAGTAAGAAAGGCAGAGCACGAAACAAAGAGAAGAAAGCTTCGGTAAGAAAAGAGATTTTAAGCTTAAGTCTTCAGCAAGATATTAAAAACTGAAGGGAACCAAAATGTTCTTAAGAAATGAAACATAAATCTGCATTGCCATTTTGGGAAGGTCAATGCAAGACTTTTAAATACTCCAAATGCCCCTATTTTAATAATAATTTGGATTCTTCTGACTATACCTTCCCTTCCTGTGGAACAGTAACAGAAAGGGGGAATACTTCTGGAACCTGGACATTTTTTCTGATATGGAAAACCTATCAAGTCTTCCAACAGAGCATTTTGTAGGCCTATTGCACTAGCAGTGTACAAGCACCTCTGATCTTGTAAGCCCAGAACTGCTACCTGTAAGACTTGTGTATCGTGCTGCTTCCTAAACACTGGAAACGGAATTCCCCTCTTAGCCATGCTGCATTGAATTCCCAGTTCCTACTTGAGGCTATAGATAATGGCAGATAAGAAAAAGCAGCTAAAGGGCAGCAGTCACAATAGTAGCAGGGCATTATTTGATGTGACTCAAATGATCTTTTGTTGTTTTATTGTTTCTTTATTTCCACTTCAAAATCCATAGTTTATAGATGAGTTTTTGAAATAGTGGGATGGGGATGCCATGCTTTGCTTCCCATGGTGAGATGATTAAAATATTACTAGATAAGAACTCCTGCTTTTGTGGAGTGTACAAAACACAGGATGAGAAAAAGTTTTCATACTTTGTAAACCCTCATTCATAGAGAGCTATCTTTAAAGATGCTAATGTTGTTTTTGAGAACAGATTTATGTGTTGATTATTGAAGGCAGGCTGTAATGACAGTGAATATATATGTAAGTTTTATATATTTGTAAATAAATTGATTATTTGTGTTTTGCTTTCAGCCACCAGCCCTAAAAAGAGTATCACACTTAGGCTGCCTAATAACGGGATGTGATAATCTAGAGCAACCTCTCCTCCTAATGCAAACAGCTTGCAACAATATAGGTCTGGAGCTAGGAACAGATATGTATTTAGCAATTAATTGTGCTGCTCATGAATTAATGGACTACGTAAGTTACTTCTGCTGTTTATTAAAATAGTTATTTGTTAACAGTTCACTATTGCAATGCAGATTCTCGCCCAGAATCTTTTGACTTTGTTTTCCACAAGCAAAGAAAAAGAAGGATCTCTGCATTTATCAAATCTGTTTGAATCAGTGCTACAAGTTCAGCAGATGTGCTATTGGACTGTAAGCATAAGGGGCAAAATATGCAGACATCCTTTTTGTTGCCCAGTGCAGAGAGCTGGTATGTATTCCTCCTCTGCTGCTGTAGCAGCATACTGACACACTTCATGTGGAAAGGCTCAGTGGAGCAAGGCAGCCTCTCCTTATGCCCTGCATCCTGCCTACAAAAATCTCTGCTACTTTCACAGTTTAACTTTTATCGTATCAAACAAATTTATCATTATAAGCCGCCCTGTGTCAGCCACATTTATTCCTCTTCTCTGCTTGTTTATTTAGTAATGTTTTTCTGATGGGTCTGGGTTAAAGGTAGCAAACTTTTAATAGGCAAGCACCTACTGCCTTCTGTTCAGCAAACTGGCTTCCTGTCACAGAACATCTCAGATGATTTTGAATTAGAGTAGGAGGCAGCAAACACTGTTTTGTTCAGTTCACCACGCGGAGTAAATTAAGCAATTATCTCTAATTAATCTTCTATCTGTCTTGTCTTTAAAGATGAAGAGCAAGAAATTATTTATGCAAATATACTTCTGTAATCCCTTTGCACCACTTGATGCTTATTTCTCCCTTTTATTACACTACATCTGTTCTTGACCTTTTAGTATATTTTTACTACATTACTGCATACCCGGTAACATTTATCTCACTGCATATCAGCATTCACATACAATGATTATATTTCAGGTTTTCTATTTGATGAAGTTTATTAATCTCCAGCTGAAGTCTTAAAGTTGTAAGCCCTTGTTCCAAGATCAGTCAGCTTTTTCTCTGAGCAGAAAAAGAAACTTGCTGCTCTCTGTGATTTAGCATCGTGTGACATTTAGTGTGTCTGGGTACACTGTACTCACAAGCTGCCTATTAGCACAGGATCTTCTGTGAAAACAGTTGCTTTCCTGACAATTTCCAATGAGCAACATCTTAAAGAATTATGAGTAATTCTGTTCTTTAACTGCTGCAGTCAATAAAGCAGTGTTTTCTTTCTGGCACAATTTGATAGTGTACTCATAATCCCTTAATAATCCTTCTACTCGTGTGTTATGGTTTATGTTTTCCATAAAGATGGGACAAGTTTGAAACGAGCTTTTATCTTGTGGTGCTGGGTTGGCCGTTCTGTGTGTGTGGAGCGGGGGTTTGTTTGTTTTGGTTCTGTGTGTTGGGTTTTTTTTCTTGGGGGGAGTGAGAAGGGGGGGAGAATTACTTTTTGTTTGATTGATTGGATTTTTTTTCCTTATGTTTTTGATTTTTGATCATTTTTTCCCCCTTTTTGTTTTTTAGTTATTTGTTGGAAATGAGAAAGCACCAAGGAAAGGCAATATGTTATTTTTGAGTACGGAGAGTGTGCTCCTTTTCTCATAGCAACATTTCTCTTATGCAAATAAGGACTAAGAATTAACCTTCTTTTTTTGGAAGTGAAAAGAGATTTTTCATGCAAGATTTAATAAAAATGTCAAATATTGATAACTTTATGACAAAGTTGTGTAAAACTGACAGTGTTGCCTAGGAAATGCTGAAAGAGATCTCCCTTGTTTTGGGAATGGTGTATTTGGCACGAGCTTACTGTTACTTCAGGCAGAGATTTCCATAATAATGTTCACACAGACATAGAATAAAGTAAGCAGAGTGAATGTGTGCTTATTGAAGAACACACAATCCAATGCCCTAAAGGAGATATCAGAGTCACAAGACCTGCGTGCTTGTATTAGGACTGTGTCTAATTAAAGAATTGCCCTTCTTTTATACTTTATCCTGTACTTTCTAGGTGAAAGGAAAATATGAAATACTTACTGGAACATTCAGAAGTCCTGATGAAATGGTCGACACGTACGTGGAACTGGTTAATAAATTTCCTTCTATTATTGCCTTAGTAGATCCCTTAAGGAAAGAGGTAAGAGTTTGTGTGAAACCACTGAACTTTTCATGCTTTTACAAAACATACCAAAAATGAAGCATCTGTTTTCAGAGTGTTTAGGCACAGAAACGCCAGTAGAAAAAACACATGCATTAATTCATTTGCATATATTTAATTGACTATGATTCAAGATTTTTTTTTAATGTTTGAGCTAATTCATGATAGAAAATAATCCTGACATGAACAGAATATGGGTAGCACAATTATTATGAGAAAATGCTAATTCTTCCCAATCCTTCTTGCTCAAGCACTGTCATATTATATATTACATTTTCCTTCTTATGAAAACAAATAATACAAATTGTACTATAAAATCAAATTACAAAATTCATGTGATATATAAATGACATTATGTGGAAGAAGCTAAAAATTTCTACATAGCTAGACAGCTGTACATTCCTTAGAACATTTCAGAAAACTGACATAGCTGTTCTTCTTTATGACTGAGATATATACCCAAAGCCAGAACAAATCTGTAGCTGGCAGCATTGCTCAGCAGAATTTGTAAAGAGCATTTTATCACTGTGATCAGTGTTAGGGGAGATAATTGAGTGTGGGCAACAGATTAAAACAATAAAGTAGAACACAAATGTTTTAGCAAGCTACAAATAGGTGAAAGAGATGGCATAACCTCAGAGATCAGCATTTATACATATAATTCAGTTTCCATGTATTACCAAAAGATAGAAATTTAATTGTAGTAGAAGATTCTAAAGTTGCATGACTTAACAAAAACTTTTCTTCCTTTGGAAGTTTGACTTTATTTTAAAATAAATATGTCTTTTGTTTTCATGAAAAGAAAAAAAAGTTGAGCATGAATGAAGGGGGAACTGAAGTATCTTTGTGAATCTGCCAAGTGCCTGAATTGATAATTCTGTAATAGATGAAAACTGCAAAATTGAGTTCTTAGCTGAAATTCTAACAGCTTGTTTTTCAGATAGTGGTTTATATTGTTACCTCACTCTAGTGAGTTTTGCTCCCCTGCCCTGTTTCAAACTGATCCCCATATTCCAAAACACTCTGCTATTCCCTGCTCCTGCCGGGGCTGCAGACCTCCATGCAAATTCTTGAGGAAAGATAGTAACAGGAAAATGTGTGGAAGGATTGCTACAGACAGTACTGTTAAGGAAAATGCCTGTCCTCCTCCCCCCGCAGCCCATCTATGAAGCTAACCCAAGCCACATCTTTGCCACAGATAATGAGGTCCTTGAGGATTAGCTGTGGTACCAATTCAACAATCCACCGCCAGATAGAAGAACACCTAAGTGGTTAAGTTTAAACATTTGACCATATGTCAAACCTTCATTTTCAGTTACTTGTGAAACATTTGACAGCTTTATGGGAATAGACTCCCATGCATATTGCAAAGCTACACATTTCAATGTGATCCACAGACCAAGAATTATTAGTTTCAGAATTATTAACTTGAAATTGTACATGATTTTAATGTGAGAACTTTGCATTCTGTGGACACAAAGAAAACAAACATATTTTTAAATTTCTTTTTTTTTACAAATTATTTATATACTCCCATCCTCTGTTTATCTTTAAATCTCAGTACCAGGTGGACAGTACATTCAAATTAAGAAACAAAGAGCCTAAAAAAATTGGAGTTTTGCTGGAAAAAGAGCGTTGTATTCCACAGTTCCCTATGGGTCAGTCTTGTAGCTCTGATCATCCTCTCCTGATATACTTCACTGAATCTATGGCTGCCTACTGTCTCATTACTTTATATTCAAACAGATACAATGACACTTAAAATATGAACACAAGAATGAATCCTAAATAAAACAACAGAAAATTGTTTTGTCATCCATTTAAATTAAATACACTGCAGGAAAGGAAATTAAAATAGCAAAGACCTACGGTTAGTTTAATTTGTAGTATTTTAAACTGTCCTGCTGTGCAACTATCTTTGATTAATTCCAGGTACAAATTTTTGTTTTCTAGCAAAATCTTAAAAGCCAAGCAAAATCGTTATATTTTCATAGAAAGAGATTCAAAATATAAAATATATCTTTATATAGAGAGTGGGATGAAATCCAAACAAAACTTTTCCAGTTTTAAATTGTGCCTCCTGGGTTAGAGTTTTCATTCAGTTTGGTGTTTTAAACTTCAGGTATTTGCTTGCTCATTTATGCAGGACAGACAACAATGGAATAACTTGTGTTGTGCTCTTGGTTCCAAATGTTACCTGATTGCTGAAGATGCTGCCACAAACACTTCCAAACTTAAAACAGACCAGAACATAAACATACCTATGTGCAGTGGTGTTGTCCTAAAATATGTTAATCAAACCAAGGTATCAGACCTCGTCAAACTGACTGGACGTCTAGATGGTGAGTAGAGAGGTAAAAAGGCTTGCTTGCAAGCCCTACAAGTCAATAAATTGTGTTGCAACACCTATAAATATTACATCTTTTGATTTAATCAGTACCATTTCTATTTTAGAAAGTGTTTGTCAGAAGAAACTGAGTCATGTTCTGTTCACAAATCTCTCATTCAGGAGCCTGAAACAGGACGCAGGCTTAGAGAGTACACTGCGTGTGCTTTGAATGTGGATGCCCTTTGGCAATGCAGATAAGAGTCATGCAGTTCGATGTCGGGATTAAAATGAAACAAATGATATAGCTGAGGAATTTGTATTTTGCTTAATATTAATAATTAAGAAATGCAAACTAGTCTAAAATATTTGAAAGGGCACTTTACACATTACTGAGCCTTTATGGTAGAAGTACTAGAAACTTGTGTGGTTTCTTACATAAGATTTCTTCGCACCATTTTTTTTGTTCTATTCATCTTTATCCCCATGAAATAGATGGACAAATTTTATATAATTTCCTTCTCCTTATTCCCTCAAAAATTCCAGAATCACTACATCAAAGTGAGTTAATAGCAATTTAAACATTTCATTCAGTCATGAGGGTAAACTCCTTTTCATAGCGAAGAAAAATCATTACTGTAGGAAAAAGCATGTTTAAAGAGATAGAACAGCCTCCTGGTGTGTACCATACATTACCGGACACATCAGCTAGAGGTAAGTAGGATAGGATGCTAGATATTCCCTTATTCGTGCTGAAAATAAAAGAAAATGTACCATTAATGCCATAATTGTAGCAAACCGGTATAGTTTACATTTTCATGAAATGAGTTTCATTTAATCTTAGCCCAATGGAAAAAAAAAAAAAAAAAAAAAAAAAAAGAATAAAAAATGTAAACAATTTCTCTGTTGAATTTATAAAATATATACTAATGAAGGTTGTACACTGCTGTTACATATAGGTCAAAGACGTATTACCATATTAGGAAGTCCAGATGGAGAATCTTCTGATGATAGCCTTGTGGATCTGGTAAGTACTGAAAGCTATTCAGTTGCAGAATTGCCAAAGCACTGCTTTTAACATGAATTATTTTTTAGGAGAAAGCCTGTTTCTGTGTGAGAAAGAAACATTTTACAAAACCGTCTTTTTCTAGGGTTGTTTTTTTCCCCCACAGAAAGTTAATCGTTGAGTCTAAAGAGAAGATGCAGGAAATTTGCCAAAGCAGGGAGAAAATTCACGAGGGTATATGATCTATTTGGTTGCATTCATTTATAAAAAAAATGAGGTACTTAAAACATTTCTGGATGGTAATAATATTATCTATAAAATTGTTAAACAGTGATATATTTAGGCTTTTTGTGTTAAAGCTACCTTTGCAAATAAAATTCCACTTTGTACGCCAGTGAAAATTATTGTTTGCATCCAGCAAATCTCTCATCGAGAGATGTTATTTCTATTTAAAGGAGGTTTATTATCTGTAAAAAGATAAGAAAATTGTTAAGTTGGAAGTAGGGTACCGTGTATAATTATTACAAATGACTTCACTCCCCAAACCAAATAGGTTTAAAATACGCACTTTCTCGTTTCAAGGCTGTTGGACTGGGTGCCAGGTTTGTCAAGTTGGGAGGTCTTTCCCGCGGAGAAAGGGTGACCAAATACAACCGCCTTCTTGCTATAGAGGAAGAACTGGCCAAGAATAGAACGCTACGTATGAGCTTCTTTCTTACTTTGTTTTCAGCTTGCAATGAATACGGGAACAAAGATTGGAGGGAGAATGATTGAAACCGCACCGCAGGAGGGAAGTGAAATCAAAAGACTATAAATAAGTGCTGACAAAAAAAAACCTAGGATAGCACTTGCCACAATGTATATTGTTGTCCTAATGGATTATCTGTTTACTGAATGTTAAAATAGACCCCTTCTTGAGGAGTAGCCTACATTAAGCCTTTTTCCAGAATTAATTGGTAGGAGTCTTGAAGCCCACAGTGCAAAAGGAACAAAGCAAAAACCAAGCATATAAGGCTCCGAAGAGCTGCCAAAATGGAATTTTAGGCCAAATACCCCACACTTTTCTTAAGTCCCTAAATATATATTCCTAGCAAAACTTCATTTCACCAGCCTTTTGTGTGCTATATGTACAGCAAAATGTGTTTGGAAAGCTACGATTGCATGAATAAGTACTAAATAAACCCCCAAAAAATCCAAGTTGAGGATGCACATTCAGCCTTAGCCTCTTGTATGCATCTGCCCACATTTCGTAATCTACATTTCTTTTTACACCATTTTATACAGTTAAATACTTAACTGTTCACTAGAGCCATTTCTCACTTGCTCAGGTATTAATCAAGACAGGATAAAGGCATACAGTCTTGGGGGTGGGAGGGCAGAGACAAGGGGAGGCAGAAAGGAAGAGTTTGCACGGATTTATTATAGCTAAGTGAAGGAAAATGAAAGAGAACTAAGTCATCTGATCTTGTTTCTATTATTATTATTGTTTTCTTTATGTTCTATATATGGAATAGCAATGTTTGACAAGCAAAAAAAGGTATTTTTAAAGAAATTACTGAAAATATTTCAAGTTTGGGACATCTTTCACTTGCTCACATATAGTCATCATAAAAAAAAACAGAAATATACAGAGATTTGTTTTGATGAGTTCCACAGAATGTTTTCAAAATCAAGTCATAATAATTACTAAGAATGATGACCTTTCACTGCCTTAGCAATATTAATATATTCCCTATTCAAATGGATATAGTCTAAACAAAAGAGCTTGAGTTTGACATATTTAAAATTGTATCTCATGAAATGAAATAGCAACAATTCCTGAAGCTGTTAATCATTTGGCAGAAATGAAATCCAGTAATTAAATCAACAGCAGGGAAATACTGAGATAGCATGTCTGAGCTGCATACCAAACTCTTCATTTGGCTGGGCTGCAAGCTACAAAATACACTGGAGGGCTGAGCATGGAGGTCTCTGTAAATGGTTCGTGGATGAAAGGTGACATTGACCCATCAGGAGTCCCCCCCAGGACTGACTGAACTGGGCACACAGCTGGGCCCAGCAGCACTGCAGCTACAGGGAGCCAGGCTCTGCCTGCTATCTTCCCCTCTCGCTGTCAGGTTCTGGGATTGCACAGAACTCTCCGTCTATTGCAGCCCCAATGCTGATACTGCATTTCAGCCCCCAGGTACATCTGAAAGGCAGACAAGAACTGCTCATAAGATGAAATCACAGATTGGTCAACCCTTTGCTAGAAACTCACAGAGATGTGCCAGTGAATGGGCAGGCTTTGTATGCATGGCAAAAAAATAATAATCTGTAACGAATGTGATGTGATTGAGGAAAAACAGCAGTAAGGAGAGAGGTTAAGTGTCAGAAGCAACATCTGAACCTGGGCTTATATGAAGTTGGTAGAGACTGGGGTTGAGGAGGAAGGAGGCACAGGCAGATAGTGGGAACTTTTACAAGAACATCAGTGCAGAGGAAGATGGATGTTCAAAGAAAGGGCAGCAAGAGCAAGGGTAGTAAGCAGCAGGTAAGGTGGTATGTGAAGAAGGAAAAGCAATAAACATCCCAGCTCAGGCTGCTGTGAATCATGGAAGGGTTTGAGGTGAAAGGGACCCAACAGCTCATCCAGTTCCAGCCCTGCTGTGGGCCCAGACACCTCCATCTTCCTGCTCCACGTCCTAACCCTGTAACCAAAGTGCAGGAGCTCTGCTCCTTTGGTTCTTAAGACCAAACCCTTAATAATGTTTAAAGACTGATGTAAGCATTATCTGGAAGTTTGAAAAGAAAATCTGATTGCATCAGAGAACATTTCAAGAAACCAGATTTCAGCAAAGATAAGAACAGGCTTCTTTATTCTCTTCTACTGCAGGGTACGATGAAAATTTTGAATTTACCGATTTTGCTGAAGAATTACAGCCAGAAAAACAACAGCATGAAGTCCTTCCTCCCCCACAGCTGGAATCAGTGCCTTCACAGCTCTCTGTGCCAGCCCTGCAGGGTCACAACGTGCCTGCTCAGCTCCTGGAGAGCAGCACACTGACCTAGGTCGCCCAAAATAACTGTCAGGTAAATTTCTAAAAACTATTTTTGGTAAGGAACCCATACACTGACTGTTCTTTAATCCATTTATTTTCCAGCACCTCAGCTAAAATTTTTTAAAAGCATTCAAATATTCATTTCTCTTTCCCCAGGAGACCATTGCTTTCAGCTGAACCCAAGTTAACTGAACACTGACTGCAGTTTGAAAACACCGCAAAATTCTATGCTGTATTTACAAACTGACAAAACAAGTACCTCTGTGTTAACTTCAAAACTAAATGTTTGTTTTGAGAAAGATCTCTCTCCACACAAAGAGCAAGCTATTGACAAACAGTAAAAAAAAAAAAAAAAAGAATTTACAAAAAACAAAGGCCTTGACTGTTATGCTGCTCCTTCCCCCCCCACACCCCTCAATGCTGCTCTTAGATCTGGCCTACAAGGGAAATGTTGCTCCAGTTCTAGCGAGCTATCAATACAAGTACATCAGTGCAAACTCCAAATGTAGGGCACAAAGCTGTAATGTGCATCACTAGGAAGCTCACTTCAGATTGAAGCAAGGAATAACAAGTCAACTTCACAAGGTCTGGGAAACTTGTCAGTAGTCTTTTTAATAAGCAACAGTGAAAAGATAAATAATTTATCTTGTAGGTAACGAAGAGTTCACATAAAAGAAGTATTTTTTTTTTAACTTCTGTTTTTTTTTTAAATTTGAAAATTTGAACATATATAATACAGCAGTAATAATTCAAGGAAAAATACACATATAAAACATTGCATTTTGTATTCAGTGTAACAGATACGTAAGTGAAAAATTAACCACCAAAACCACCACTACCCTCCAGAAAGCAAAGTATCAAATAAGAAGAGACAAATTTCCCCAGGTTTAGGAATTAAACACAGTTCAGTAATTAGATCAAATCCAAGATTATCTTAGCAAACATGCAAAAACACCAGAAAAGATGTGAAACCACCACACTCGCTACTATCACTTTATTTGGAGAAAAAGCACCAGACAGTTGCATGCAGAGCCAAACTAACAAACTCAGAACAGTCATCCTTCAATATTATCACTGTTTCAAATCATTAAATAAAAAATAACCCAAGTACAGTCAGGTACGTGACCACGCCATTTCAGTTACACCGATCTTCCTTAGGTTTGCATTTGTTCCCTGATTACATTTGTTTGTTCTTTATAACAGAATGAGATACCCTGTTGGATTTAAAAAGAAGCTACAGTGGAATGTGAACTGGCAGTGCAGCAAATCCACTATGCACCAATCTGCCTATCTTCATAGGAAATAAGGGAGCTGTGTTACCAAATACAGAAATCTAAAGTGTTACCTAAAAGAAAACTTAATGCCCCCGCTCTGTACTAGGATCAAAGCAAAGGATTCTTTGTTGATGCTACTGGGTTTCACCTGGGAGTTCTCTAAATGCTGACTCCAAATGACCTGCAATCCTAGAATGGCTGAATCCCAAATGTAGGAATTCCGAGAAGCCCACCATAACTCATTCTTGCAGCAGCACACGCAGACTTCAGCTACATCTGTACCAAACTGCTACATAAGGCTGAAAGAGAAACCAGGAGATAAATCCTCATTTGGAGAGGTGTTAATCCAGAAGAGAGCACCGCTCTCTATCCACAGACTTCTGGCACTATCATTACCAGAAGGCATGGTACCAAAACTGCACGCTGTGCTGCCTCCATCTCCAGGTTTGCTGTCTGCTGGGGAAACTAGAACAGAAGTGTTACGTTTTGTGCTTTCAGTGTCATCCAAATGGCCTGCATGGAGGCAGCTGTGAGCAGATCTACAAAACTTTTTTTTCAAGTAGATATCAAAATATTTTTAAAGCAACGTGTCTAAAAATTGTTTTGTTTTGTTTTTTTCATTATCAAAATACCCCCATACTAAAGCTGAGGTGAGTGCAATCACCCGCTCTGTCCCAAACTCAACAGGGACACAAGGGGCTTCTGGACCTTTAACAGAGCAGCTTCTCAATAAAGGAATAATTGAAAAAGCCTTTTCAAATGCAGTTTAAAGAAAAGTAAGGTAACTGTCCATATCTAAGGAAATATTAACCATACCTGCAAAACTAAAAAGGGAAAGGGATTTTGAGTGATATGTAATTATTTAACACTAAAGCACGTAACAAAACTGCATACAAAAGACCATTTCAATTTGTATTACTGAAAACTGTTTGGAATACAGACTGTAGCCCCCAGTACCACACCTAAGCAATCGACATGACTCCCAAAAGTTACAGCCTTTCAGAATGGGGATTAACAGTTAGAACTGTCTGTCTCTCTTATTTTCTCAACATTACTTTCTTTATGCAGCGACTTGCTTTTTTCTTCCTTTGTTTTGTTCTGATTCAGTGTGTTTGCAGTCATCTGATCTCCACTGGTGGACACGGGATCTAACACTACAACAGATTCTGTCTCTTTCTCACTAGTAGAAGCTTTTCTTGAAAATTCCATATGACTCGGTGATCTAAAGGGAAAAGGATAGAGATATGAATACAGATAACAACGCATATATTTAAGAAAACCACAGAAAAACATGTATGTTATTGCCAGTATTTGTGACCAGGACAGGTCTACTAGGCTGATAAACAGATTTACAGATTACAGCTCTTACATACAGATAGCAGTGCACAAAATGCAACAGTCACACTACCCTTCCTGAATCGTTTGTTACATAAGTGAAGTCAGATACTTCACTACAAAAATGAATTTACAGAGTATCATTTTCAAGATAAATTTAACAATTTATTTTCTCTCTGATCATCTCTGAGCTGAATTTAGGATCCCCTTGTCCAACACAGCAGCTGGACCTAGAGAAAATGCTACCTGTTCCTGTCTTCTGTAGCCCAAAATGTGGCTGCTTCTTCACATCTGCATCCCAGGGCTTTCACTATACTACAACTGACTGCACACCAGAAGCTAAGGGAAGCAAAACCAGATTTTCTACTGTGGCTCAGCACCAACAGGCTGGGAGGGAGTACAAGTGAGATCTGAAAATTCACCCAATGGGTTTGTTGAAATTCAGAGCAGTGTTAGACCTGTGTTCCCTGCTTTAGAAATGGAACTGTGCCTTGACTGCTTGCAGTGCAGATTCTTGCAGACGAAAATCCCTCAGAGCAAGTAGAGAGCAAGGAAAGGTCAGAGTCACCAGGATTATACACTGAGGCTGGCTTAAACACTAACGGCACTCGTCCACATTCAAAAGCTCTGTCTTATTGCTGAGAGCATGCAGGTAAATCCTTAGATTAGCTAACGTGCACCAGAATAGAACAAGGCCAACAAGAGGACAGCATGACCCAAGCACGTGACAGGTGGGGATATTTCCTATGCCGTCCTCAGGCTGCCCCGAGAGCTGCCTTGCTCTGCAGGCAGACAGCTCACGTGCACGGGCTCCTACACCAGCCCTCCAGAGCAGCTGGCTCTGATTCCTGTGGATACATAACCAGACATGCTCAGAGAGAGGTTCTTAGGGCTACACATCTGTATGCAGCACATCTTCACATAGGGCCCTACGCCACAGGGTGAATACAGTACGGATGACTACATAGCTACAAACACCAAATTGGACAGAAAACCTTAGCAGAAGAAGGCCCTGTGTGCACTGCATCCATTTCCTAGTCTAGAGCCACTTTTTTTTTATATTCATGCTTACTCATAAGGAATGGTCTTCTGTACTGCAAAGGTAGCACATTCTATAAAGGAAAAAGTAGAACCTACTGGAGGCCAAAAAAGGAATTCATCTGGTGGATCCATCTGCTATGAACTGCCTTTATTTTGATAGTCTTTGTCCTACAGAAAATGACAGAGAAGACAGAGATCACCTGCTCCACAACCAGAGTGCTCAGCTGGCCATGGCTGGCTCCTACCTGAGCAGGAGAGTCAGTGTGCAGGTTAAAGACACTTAAATGTTCTCACAAACTGCAGCTGTCACACTCACCATTTCAGAGAGCATTAACTCAGGTCTCTACTGAAGCTCTGGATGTACTGAATGAAATTCCACGTTGAAGCCTTAATTACAAGAGTTGTCTCTAACACTAGAACTTTGGTGTAAGTTAATTAATTCAGAAATTGGTGCTAATAGATGCAGTTTCAGACTCATTTGATTGCCAAAGGAAGCTAGTGATATCATAAGGAAAATACTGTTTATTTTATGCAAAAGTTGCCAACCATTCCAGGAAATACATGGTAAAGTATTTTAAACATTACAGCAAATTAAAGTTTTTAAACCAGCGTAACCAGAAGAGGGTTATTTTTAAAAGTGCTACCTCTGAAAAGCTGATTGCCCAACACTATAAAAATGGTCAAAGCTATAAATGCCAAGTTCATTTCTATTTCACTTTGGAGGTAACTATCTTTCAAATCCCAACAGCTGGACTATTTAATACAATCTGGTGAATCAAAGTATAATTCTTCACTGGGCTCACAGTGGGGAGTCTGCATTAGTGTATGGCAGCATTCCAACAACTGATGCACGGCCAAACGCTCTGAAGTCTGTTTCATTTATAACAAAAATGGATAAAACTGCAATCATATTTACCACCTTCAAAGGTCAGAAAAACGAAAGATGTCGATATAAAGTACTTTAATGGAGAAAAGCAGTGATTAAACCAGAGTTTCAAGCATAAAAATAAGAATTACTATTCAGACCGTGTTGTACTAGCATCCCCTTCTTCAAATCCTTTACACTGCTGCAGCACCAGACTGACAGTGCTGCTGTTAGAGCCGAGGTATTGTTGGAAATCATTAACCCTATTTATTAGGTATTTGTAGTTCCTGTTCAATAGTTGTCAAGAGCAGAATGCAAGCATAATAAAATTTCAGTGTAAGAATGAACATAATTTTGGTACCCTCTTTCAAAGAACAGTTTTTGCTATTACAAATAAAGCTTGGAAAAAGCAATTAGTATAGCTGTAGTTAGCCAGCTCTGAATGATGACAGATTTGTCCAGCCAAGGTAGCTCTGTCTGGCCCTATGCAAAGCTCTTCCCTCATTGAGATTGTTAGTATCACTATCAGGATTCTTGCTGTTTGTCCAACTACAGCTTTAAGTCAGAAATTGAGCTCCTAGTTCTATTATTCATACATAATTGTTCATAGGTCTGCATATATTTTTGTGACTCAATACATAAAATCTGTACTATCAAATCCTGATTTAAATGACAAATGCTTTTTAGATTAATGGTATGGGATACACAAAGTTCCTTGCAGCTTTAAGAAGGACTGCTTGCAATAGGAGATCAAAAGCAATAGAAGGGTTATAAGCAATGGATTATCAGTGAAGCAGTGCTGCTGGGCCTTTTGTAAATCATTTACAGTGAGAATACAAAAGGACAAACTAAGTATCAGACAGTCAATTAAGACGTGGATTTTCTTTGTTTCCTCCAGTTCAGATTATAACCTTACTATGATTTAACCTTCCTTGATGCTCTGTTCATGACATTATTGAAACATATTTCTATTAGAAACCAGGATGTTACATAAATATTGCAAAAAATTTTTGGAAGAAATCTTATCCAATTTTCTAACAATATGTAAAAGCAAAAGACTAACTGGACCATTCAAGCAAAATTCCTTTTTTTTTTTTTTTTTTTTTTTAAACTCTGTTTAGAAAATACTGCCCCAAATCTACTCCAACAACGCCCACTGTACAAGCATGGGGAGCTGCATGCTGGTCTTCTGCCCAGAACCCAGGCTGGGGATCTCTGATAGAAAAGCCAGCATTAGCACAACACCAAATTAGCAGCCCTTGTCTCTCAGCAAGGTCCCTGCTCCGGAGCACTGAGACACCTGTAGCCCCTCTTCAAATAAAACTGCTCTTAAAGTCCAAATCAAACTCAACCAGTGCTACTCCCTGCTGCCCAAAAGCACTAAGCTAACCTGCCTTTTGCTCACCAACACTTAAATCCTTGATGAAGCTTAAAAATCGTGGCCATGGCTTCTCATTTCTGTAAATACCACCCATCTACTTCCCACCATTCCTGTTTTCCTTCAAGTCCCCAATACTGAAGACAACCATCGCTCATGCAGTGGAGCTCATGCACTCACAGGGCGACAAAAAACAGTGACAAAACTCATCTCTATCAGCCTTTGGTTGAGTTCCAGAGAGCAGCATCCAGGCACTTCTCATTGCAATGTCCCCTCCATACTGCCACCCTCGGCGTCTGCCAGCTGAGACCTGGCTCACTTTTATCTTCCTCAAAACCTTCCTTGTTCACTAAATACTTCAGAATTTTTAACACAGCAACAGGTGGAACCAAAGGAACCAAACAGTTCCTTTGAAAGGAAGAAAGACACCAATTACAAGCCTGAAAAAGGCTTCAGTTAAATATTTGTCCAATGCAAGTTACAGGAGGTGAATACAGCGATACAAGTCAATTAGTTTGCTGGCTCCTTCCTCTGCTGGTGTCTGCATTCTCCATTTCAGGAGTGTCTCTGCTACAATCAGCCAAGCAGAAGTGGTCGATGCAGCAGTGAGCAGAATGCAACTGCAGACTGACTGCTATGCAGGATCAAGTCACGGCAAAGCGTTCCCATTTTAGGCACCACTTTGAAAACGCTCAAAAAAGATCAGCACATTAATTTCTATGAGGAACCTTCAAGAGCTTCTGCCTGCAGTGAGTTAGAGCACACAGTGTACAGTCTAAGAAAAACATGTGACAGTAGCTTTTAAAATAGTTAAAACTACGGAGACCTCAAACTCTCAGAACATCCCATCGCTTCCTTCATTTGTTGTTCAGACCAAATTGCCCATGCTCAAGCTGCCCTGGAAAACCTTTGTAGCTCTGCCTCACTGCGGCTGAGCCGCTTCCTGCAGAGCTGGTGGATGATTCAGGGGTACTAAGATTACAGCCAGAAGAAGGAGGACAAATCCTTTAATTGTATAAAATCATGAGATTAAGACTAACCCTCTCTGCAGTTCACTGTTAACAGAGGTCTGTGCTGCCCAGAAACAAAATGTTTACCAAATTCTGGGGGGAGGAACAGGAAAAAAAAACCAAACGGGGCAGAGCCAGACACACCTTTCCCTTCTGTGTCTCTGCACCGCAGGGAGTCACAAAACACACTGCACTCCCAAGAGAGCCACATTTTCACCTACTGTCTTCTAAGCAATTGTCACAGAATTACACCCATGCTGGGTTAAACATCTGGGAAATGATTTCCAGAGGAAGTTACCTGAATACCAAGATAAATTCTCAGTCCCTCTATAGGACACATTATTTACATCTCCCCTCACCACCAACTCAGCTAAACTTCACACATTCCAAACCATCTGCTTCAAGGCAGCACACCTCTGTTCTGGCAATTTCCTGTTCTGAAATTACCCCAAACCTTCTGGTTCATACCCTACATTTTCCTTCTGAATTAATCGAGTTATCATCAATTACTCTGAATACCAGGAAATGTTGGAGCAAACCACACTGGCTTACATTACAGCCTCTTTCCTCTATCCCTCTTTTGGCAACCAGTCTGCGGCCCACCTGATTCTGCTGGGGGTGATGCTTGGGAAACACTGAGCTGTAGCAATAACCACATTATGAATGGAGTCCTGCTTGAAACAAAGACTGCAATCTCACTGGCTCATCAGCATTTAGGTTGTCACTGAGTCGGTGCTGGTGTGGGAACCAGGACTTCACTCAACGAGCCAACTTCTGTCATTGTTGTTCACAGACATTTTCCAACATGCATCCTTCTTACTCCATGAGAACAGGTGCACTTAGTGTGAATAAAGAAAGATGCACAGGGCTGGCAGCATTTAAATATCTCTAAGTATTACCCTGCCTCTTTCAGACCACAAGTCTTAGTACAGGGACAGCACAGCAAAGAAGAACACCTCACGCATGACTATCTGCAGGGTTTTCTGTAAGAAGCTGCACATTAAAATCTAGCTGGAAAAAAAAAAAAAAAGAGTTAAGTAGTGCTCTGGAAGAGACACCTGGGGATTATGAGACATGCAATCCTCTGCCGTGCTATAAAAGGTTCCCTCGGCTGCTGCAAACAGCTGAGGGAGGTCACACCTTTGTCAGATTTCAAGGAATCGCAAATGATGAGACAGCTGCAACGTTTTACCTCAGGTATGAATAAGGAGAAGTGCCACAATAAGTCTTTTGTGTGTCTTTGTCAGGAAGGGTTCCTGGTGAAAGCCGCACGCGGTTTGTTTAGTTAACGCAGACCGCTTTAGGAAACAGCAGTGCAGCAGGGAGAAACAGTCTGTGCTTTGCACCCCTGTCCTCACAGTACCCTTCAGGGGTTATGCACTGAACTAGCTCTTGTGCGGTCCCTGGGCGAGCCACTAAAGGCTGCATCACATCTCTGACTTCGCTTCACCCTTCAGTGAACCCAGGGATCTGGTTCATGCACTGAAACCATTGCAGGGTGAACATCTGAGCACAGCAAAAGGGGACAACAGGGAGATTCCCTTCAGAAAAGCACTGTGGTCCAAACTAAACTGCCTGTACAGATGTGCCCAGGGAAGCCTAGAACACTGCAACACTGCCTGCATACAGATCTAAGCTGTCAGATGTGTACGACAAATGAACTTCCTTCTGATATCTGCTTCAAATAAGCCCCGTCTCACAGCAGCACTGCACTCCCTGCAGCGTGGAGGCTGCCTCTACTCACTTTTGCTACAAGCAGCACCCAGGAGGCAAAGAAAAGTAAATGCACTTCAGCAGCACCTTGGCTGCTTCCACTCCTCCCTGCCAGCCCAGCAGAAGGACAGTGGTGCCCAGGGGTGCCCAGGCACCTTCCCTCTCCCAGTGGAAAACCACCCTCAGTGCTGAGCCTTTCCAGGTTTATGCTGGTGACTGGGCGCAAAGAAGCCCTGCAGCACTGAGGAATCTGGCCCATCACGTTTGTTTTAATGCTTTAAACAGATAAATTAAAATGAAATGTGTCTTTTAGGATGTCACTGAATAGGCAAGCTGAGAAATAAATTGAGCTTCCCGTATGCATTTATAACACATAACAACTGTGACTGTCAACACAAGATCCTTTTCACTGTCAATTCACCACGCATTCTACAAGACCTTGGGGCCTGCAATTATTTCATTTCCTTTCTTGCAAATGCAATTTCCACTTAGTTTGGTGGAATAAAAGGTAGACAAAAGGTGGTGGGAGTTGCTGTGTTTTTTGATAAAGGTTATCTGCTCAAAACTGTAGAAATCCACAAACTACAAACACAGGATTTTTCAGGAACAACTTCACCTTTTCTGTCAGGGTGAACCATTCTGGCAGTCCAGGAAAATGCAACAGCATTATTCACATCCAATTACCTGTTGAACAAATCTTCATCTTTCTGATTAAATTAAAATGAAGATCATCTTTCTTCTAAGAATACTTTAATGAAATAAAATGGGAAAAATACACGAGTGGAAAAAGGGGTCTGCTTTTAAAACTCAGCATAAATTAAATAAAACTGAAGGGCACAGAAAGGAAATTGGGCTCTTCACCATTCAAAAATAAATGATAAAAGTACCTGCAGGAGAATGAAGTAAATATCAGATCACAAAAATAGATAGGAGGAGGATGCCCAAACAAGTGCACAGTCCAGCTTCACAAGGAGCGTGGTACTGCTACAAAGCCAATCCTCCAGCAGATCTGTCTGAAATAAATACTTCTGAAGCAGGTTTAACTCCTTGATACCAAACTGACACTTTGGATTTTCAATCCATTGTGATAAAAGATCCCTCTCTGTCTGTGCAAATACAATACTAACTGCTTTTTTTATTATTCCTCTGAAGAACCTTAATCTTGAGTCACAATTTTTATCAAAAAATGTATAAGAGTAATAGCCTGCCTTCATTTCATTACAACAGAAATCACCCAGCACAACTGCATACAGACCAGTATGACTTCTATGACTCTATCTGAAAATATTGTTATACTGAAAATACTGAGCTAAAACGATCTTAAAAAATAAAATAAAATAAAGGGTTACCTATGTAACTAAATGTGCTCTTCAGGATATGGAAATGCCCTCAACTTTGCTAATCCTCCAAAAATCTTCAGTGGTAGAGAAGAACTTTTTTTTTTTAAACAACATTGCAGATTCTACAGGAAAAGAGCTTTACTGCAGGAAATTCAACTGTCACCACATGAAAATGAATTATTTGAAGAGTCACTGGCAAACGGCTGCAGATACTACATTTATCCTGATCAGCAACACTGAAGTGAAACCACTTTCAAAGTGCATCAGCTGAAAAGATCTGAAAGCTATCCAGAAAACCATATTTTACTTACTGTAACATAGCTTTGGAATCTGTGACACCTTTCAGCTGGTTGGAAACAGGACCTGAATCGGATACTTTGGAACTGAATTCTGTCTCCAAATCTTTCTTCTTCGATGCTGTTTGTACACCACTGGCTTCTGAACCTAACACAGGCAGAGATTTGGATTCTGATGTGGCCAAGATTCCAGTGGGATCTAAAACCCAAAGAAAGTTTAAAGCTTATGTTAGCCAAGTTGACAGGTCTAGAGACAAAGCATAAGAAGAACTCAAATCACCTGCAGAAATCAAAATGGAATTTTAAAGAGCAATTTTAAAGACATAATGACTGAAACAGCAATGGTGTGGAAGAGAAAGTAAATCTTCAAGAGTGTCTCAATGCAGGGGCAGGAAGAGGTCTATGAAGGAGTCAGGGCACTTACTGCCACTGTCCTGGTCAGTAGTCACTTTCCGACGTCGCAGAACTCGTTCTAGCTCTGTTTCACCACTGTCTGTTTCGAGGGACTTCAGGCTTCGGGAACTAGTGGATTTGTTCAGTGTTTCCTAAAGCAAGAAACAGGCACACAAAGCTCTCTGAGTATACAACAAACCGTGCCACACCTCCCAGATGTGCTATGTGACAACCTTCTAAGCTTTTGGAAGACAAGTGCAGTTCTAAATCAATGAAAAAACTCTCCCTACAGCTGAAGAGAGAGCACCTAAACCTTATCTATTGATTAACCATACTTGCCTACCTTTGAGGGTTGATATCAGGCTTAAGAAACAACGCTGTGGATCCCCAATAAACAAACTCTGATGCTTGCAGAGAAACACTGCCTTCCTCCCTCTTAAAATTTAAAAAATCTTCAAACACTGCCCAGTGTCTCTATTAGCAAAATGCCAAAGAGCCACATTTCACTTACCCAGCACGTTGTGCATTTAGTGTGCTTGTGTTGTACTCAGGTGTGCACACACCTGGAGAAATCATCGTGCACTAGCTGCAACTGCAACATTATATCATAGAATCTGATTGATCTGACATAAATCTGAGCATATTTCCACGTACTTGATGGTTTCTCTGACATACGGGATTAGCTCTCAGATTAAAATAGTGTTTTACACATGCACAATAAAAATCCACTGCTGTGTTGTCACTGCTTTATGCCAGTGTTAGCATTTTGTATCAGCTAAGCTGTGACAGCAGCATTTTGCTTCAGGGGAAGAGAAGGCTTTAATTGAAGCCTACGACTTCCCAAAGGTGCCCACACGAATTTCAACAGGCACATGGAAAATACTGCATGCCTTTCCCACCTGACAGGTCAGTTACTGGAAGAGCATCCACTTGAATGTAAACTTCCTCCAAAACATTTATCATATAACTGAAAATGTGGCATCCATATGCTGTCTCAGCCTCCCTCCAAGTCTTGCCATCTTTGGGAATCTCTAGGATATCTGCTAACTCAGTCTTCCAAAACATGTCACACTCCTATACATTCTTTCCAGAGCATAAATAAAATGTTCTTAACAACTTCTTTTGACAAACATGTAAGATGAGTGGGAACAGTCAATGACAAAAGGAAGCGTCACCATAAGCTACAAAAACTGAGCTGCTTTCAGGCTTCTAGCACAATAACTAAAATCCTCACTGCCACCACATCCTGCTCCCAAAACATTTTCTTTGATGCCTATTTGAAATTTAACTGAGAAAATACATTATTTCTGAGCGCTGTGCTGCAGATCTGTATTAACATACATATACAAAAGCAACCTGAGCAACTGAGTTGCTCCAACTCCGTGCTTTACTGAACATAAATGCTTTGTTTGTAACAGTTATATGGAGGTCTACATGAAATGCATAATTAGCATAGTAACAACAAACGTTTACTCCATCACATCCCACCCCCATGTTTGTTGTCTGACTGTGCATAATGACTGGTCTCAAGAACAGACTGGAATTGGGTTTTATTTAGTATGTCTTACACTGCAAATATCCTTAAGAACTCAAAAACAAGTCAGACACTGTAACTATAGATCTCCTTCTGCTTCATCTAAAGTACATAATCAAGTCTCCCTCGATGTCAGTGATACAGCATCAAAGAAATGAAACTGCTATTAGAAAATGAAAGGGCCTTCAGCAGGGTCATTGAGTCTGCACCAGTACAAACAGCACACCACAGCAAACAATGCACATATGTATGGAGTTCAATTTAAAGCACCCTACGTGTTGCATTTTATTCCTTTTCTCTTTACCTCCATATTTAAGTATGCTCTAATTACAGCTTGGCATTAAGGTCTGGTGGCTCTCCAGATTATTTCTTCCTTTCTCCCCCTCACAGAATCACCTGGCCAGGGCTGGAAGGGTCCTCAAGGATCATGAATCTCCAACCCCCCTGCCACAGGCAGGGCCACCAACCTCCCCATTTAATACTAGAC